CCCCCACCCCCACCCCCATTACACAAATATATAACAGAAAACATGGCAAAGGCAATTCAACACACAATTAGACTCAACTCAAATATTCCCATTCACACCCAGAATCTCTCTCACACACACACACACACACACCAGTCAAACAGTGCTCTGAGCGTTGTGTGTAAGTGTGCATTTCATGGGAATTTGACACAGGAGCCGATAGATAAATTTGTTGTAAAAGATGCACTTTTCTTTAAACAAAACACTTACAGTAACTTCTTACAGTAAAGTCTTTATCTCCAGTCTTGTCCAATTGAAAAGTTTCAAACAAAAGACTTTCAGTGGAACCAAGAAAAAAAGTTAAAACACCACATGTGAGCTTATGCAACTGGAAAATGAGTTGCAGTTACCATTTCAATCCACCATTTCCATATTTGTCGTCTGTCTAATGCTTCCTGGAATCCAGCCGCTCGAGTCAGATCACTATGTTCCACACAGACACATCTCAGGGAAAGATCGTCAAATTAAGTGAAAAAACAGCTCTTTATAAGGCATTGAAAATAAATCGAAAAGCAAAGCAAACAATATAATGCAGATGTCACCTTAGAGGCCATTATTTTGAAACATGTTTCCCACAAAAGACTGTGATGGGAAATAAAATGCACTTTCCTTTGTTTTTTGTTTTTTTTGTTATTTATTCAAGAAAAAAGTGATCGCTCCATTCGCCCGATTCTGCTTAAAAAGGCGTTTCTTTCTTCTCTTTTAAAACGATGATTAGAAAAAATACTGCTTGAAACGCTCGTCCCTTTTCAAAGGAAAGAGAGCAGTTCTGTTTTGGCAGGTTTGCACAACTTGACATCTGGAAAGAACTTGTCACTGCTTTTTGCAAAAGTCTATTCAAATCTTTTCGTTTCCGCCATCGTCCTGAACCCCCTCCTCTCACATCAGTGTTTTCATTGAAGCCAAAGACTCTTCCCCCGTCCCTCCCTCTTGTTGGATGGCCATAAAGCTATACACGCGTGGTGGAGTGGGAGTGTGGCAGGCCGGTGGAGTTGAAGCCAGCTGTGAAGGTGTTGTACGGATGTAGGTTGGGCATGCCCACCAGCGAGTTGGGGATCATGGTTATGGTGTTGGGCGTCATGAGCGGGATATCGTCAGGCGAGCGTCGCAGAGTCAGCGTGTAGTCGGGAAGCGAAGCCAGCCGTAAGGGGTCTCCGGGTGGCCCTGCGTCACACTCGTGGTGCGTCTGGTTGACCTGCACGGAAATTTAGTTTTTTTTAAAGAAATATCAGCATGTTTCCAGCAGAAAATGCATCTTGTACAGAAAATGCATTTGAAGCAAATTGACTTGTTCTGATAAATTATGCTACATAATCAGACGGAACATGTTTTTTAGGTCTGAAAATGCGAGGAGGCGCACCGCACTGCCTTTTTTTTTGGTGACTTTTAAAAAAGATCAGTGTGCTGCAGTATTTTATGTTGCTAGGCAACCACCAAATCAGCTGTCCTATCAGTCTAATCAAAGGACTACAGTGTGATCGCTCTAAAATCTTTGGTTTTTGCTGTGAAGTAAACTGTCATATTAGCAAAAACCTTAAAAAATACAGCTCCTGGTAACCCACGACAGACACCAAAAGTTTCTCCTCCATCATTGCATTCTCCAGACTTTCTAAGCAACGGTAAACTTTCATCACCACAATGGAAGGCCCGCCTCTCCATTCATTCGATTGGACAATGGAAAAAAACCCAAAAGATGTTGGGTGCTTTTCTGCTCAGAGTTGCTTTTTTTTCAACTTTACGGTGCGTTTCCACTACAGCATCAAATCTGCGCTCAGTGCCGCTGGCAACACCACAACGCCACTGCTTTGGGGCGTGTCAAATTTAGGGCAGAGCACACCTCTGAAAAATACAAAGTTCTGGCATGAAACTCTAGATGGCGCAGTCCGATAAGTCTAACTCAATCTGACCTAATGACATCATTATCACACATTACCATGCCAATCCCTCCGAGAGTTGTCATGACAGAACTAGGTTTATACCCTGTTTGCGTTTCTTCTTCTTCTTTTAACGACGATTGTTGTCACCGGCATTTTTCGCTCGATATTTGCATAAAGTCGAGGAATGCCCAACCTTTTTTGCCGCTCTCGGATGCTCTCAATGCTTTCTCTGCGCCACTTTCAATCCCATAATGCACCGCGCGAAGTTCACTGCGTGTTTAAGCTCAACTTCCACAGGAATTAATTGAAAACGCTCGCTCGTCAGGCACTCAGAGCGCTCCTGCAAAAACAGGAGGCGCAGCAAGCGGCTAAAACGCGAGGCGCCCGGGGCGCATAAACAGCATGCAAAACACTCACTGCCAATAGAAAACAATTCAAAAAAGGCGCCTCTCACTGCAAAAAAACACGTTCTGTCTGATCGGGGCCTAAAACTACATAAAAAGCAGACGGGCTGCATGAGGATGCAAATTCACTCTCTGACAGCAGGAGGCACTTATGACATACATGACAAATACAGCATTTCCTTGGTTACCACTGTCAACAAATCAGTGCTGCTCTTATAAACACTACTTTAATATACATTATGTATGGTGCGTCTGGTTGACCTGCAGGGACATGATCTCCTCTTCAGGGGCGTGCCGGTTCATGTCGTTGGCGGTGGTGGCTCGTGGAGGGCTGGGCTGCGGGTGCTGCCCCTGTCTGCGCTTATCCTTGCGGTAGTACAGAGCGGCGAATGCCAGAACGTTGAGGAACAGCAGAGAAGCTCCCACTGCGATGGTTACGCTCAGCTCGGTGGAGTAATCCCGTGGGTTCTCCACCAACAGAGGGCCTGGTTCCTCTTCTCCGTTCCACTGCTCCTTCCCGCTCTCGCTGTTGTAGGCTGGAGACATCGGAGGCCGCTTGGTGTTGAACGGCCAGGCTTTGCCGTTGGGACGTTTGGTGGACAGTGAGTTCTGAGTCGTCTCGGGCGGTGGCACTTTGGTGGTGGTGGAGGTGTAGTGGAACATGTCGTGAAGGTTGTACAGATGAGGGACCAGGTGCTTCCAGAACGCCACTTTAGTGGCGCGGTAGTGATCCCGGACTCGTGGCTTGAGGCCGATGTGCAGGTACAGCTGGTCTTGCGGGTTGTATTTGGACCAGGCTACCTCTTCGAAGCGATTGGCCTTAGTGTGGATGAACTTGGTGTCCTGAGGCACTGGTTTGTTGGGATCTCTGCAAAACAGATAGAAGATGAATAAATGAACTAAGCTGAGAAGGTTTTTCATGTAAAGTGTCATTGCTAGAGTTCAAGCAATACTTCACCCAAAAATGAAAATTCTATCATCATTTATGCACCATATATTTGTTCCCAAACCTGTGTGATGTTATTTTTTTTTGTGGAATGCAAAAGAAGTTGTTTTTCTGAACATTTATGCTGCTCTTTTTCAGTGAAAGCATACAGTGGGGATGTAATGATTCACTCAACTCACAATGCAATGTGATTCAAGATACGATTTTCTCACAATTTTTTTTAAATACAAAATGTATAAATGAAAAAGTGTCATTTTATTATTCTTTAGAAAAAAATAATGCATATTTCTTTGTGAAATTTAAATATCTATGTCAAATAACAAAAACAAAGTGAAATTTTAAAACAAAAGTCCCAAATAAATAAATAAAATAAATCTCTTCATATAAACAAACTAAGGCTTTGCCTGTGCTCTTTCTCCTTTTTTAGCTTGTTTTTTTTTTTTTTTTAAGAAATATCAGCATGTTTCAAGCAGAACATGCACCTTGTACAGAAAAGGCATTTGAAGCAAATTGGCTTGTTCTGACAAATTATGCTACATAATTACATAAAAGCAGACGGGCTGCGTGAGGATGCAAATTCAGGAGGCACTTATGACATACATGACAAATACGGCATTTCCTTGGTTACCACTGTCAACAAATCAGTGCTGCGCTTATAAATACTACTTTAATGCGCATTATACAGAGGCAAGATGAAAAGAAAATACCATCTACATGTTTCCGAAGACAGTCAGTTCCCTTCAGAGATCCATTCACATAAACCCCCGCCCCCAATTATATCAAAATTCTTTTGACATCTCAACAGACTTGAATCGTCACATATTTTCAGAGATTTTCAACTGGCTCGGGGTGCATCGTTACATAGTGAGTAGGTACCATAAATGTAGTCCATACAACATGCTCAAAAATGCTGTGAAATTCTGCAGAACATCCCCTTTTGTGTTTTGCAAATCACAGGACGTCATATACGTTGCAGATGTGTCTAACACAGTCCTACAGAGTTTAGGTCCAACTCCATTCCAACAAACATACCTGTAGTTTTCAAATGAGCCTGAAGGACTTGATCAGCTGGATCAGGTGCATTTAATTAAGGTTGAAGCTAAACTCTGCAGGGCTGTGGCCCTCCAAGAACTGAATTTGACAGCCCTGCCATACAGCTTTGGAATGATATGAGGGTGAGAAAACGATAGCAGAATTTTTATTACAACTATCCTTGTTAAGTTGTTGGTTCATTCCCATTAAATTCACCATTTGTTGTGCAATCCTCAACCTCAGGATACTGTAAGGCAGGGGTGTCTAATCCTGTTCCCGGAGGGCCACATTCCAGTAGAATTTAGCTCCGATCCTAATCAAGTTTGGGATCACTACAAACTTCCAGGGAAGTGTCTCTGGGCAGATTGGAGCTAAACTCAACAAGACATTGGCCCTCCAGAAGCAGGACTGGACACTGACTCTTTCAGAACAATTGGATTAAGACGTCTACTAAATGACACATTATTATCATGATCATACTTTACAATCTTTCTTTTCACTAAATCGACACCTTCCGTCTTGCTCAGGCTAAGCATGCATAAAGACACAAACAGCTTGCATCCTTTCGCATATCAACCCCTGGAGTTTGCACTAATCAACAAAACAATATTACGTCCACCGACGTTCCTCCTCATCACTGCACTACTATCTGTCTTGTTTCACCTTCTTGTATAAAGCTTCCTGGCACTTCTTCCGAATCATCATTTTCTATTTCTCCTCAGTGTGACATTACGTTACAGCTCATATCTCTAAGCACCTCTTCCTGCTGGGCTTCACGCATCCTCGGCTCATTCTCTATAAAAATGAGATGGGCCAGAGGCTTTTAAAGTGAAACACAAATGAATAAATCAACAGCTGAGATGTGCTTCAGGATGCAACTTGTTTTTGATAAAACAACAGCAGTGCATCCATTCCGTTAATTGCTTTGGGAAAGCAGTGCAGATTGCATTAACAGCAAGTCTGCTGATAGAAAGTGGACCATATTAATCTAAACGCTAAAGGAGGGAAGCTGGCAAAGGGCCCTCGTGTCTGTGTGTGTGTGTGTAGTATTACCCTTTAGCCTCCAGGGGTCACTGTTTCTCCAACTGATATTACAAGCTCACAGAAGGCAAAGCAAGGTGGTGTCCAATCTCCACGGTACTATGGAGTTATCGTCTATATGAACATATGGCATCTAAATAATCACATCTACTTGTTGTCTTTTAGCTCCACACGTGACTATCCTAAGCTTTTAAGAGCAATATAATGATTTTATCAGAAGTCATTTTTTTAATGACTGTCAATGAAGGAATATGCTTTTTGCTGCCACATGGTATGATTCAACAAACAGGAGCTAACAGGGACATGCTAACCAGCTAAACCTTGACCCCTCATCTGTGATAAAACACTGCTAGATGAAACAATGCAACAATGTTTCAGACTCGATCTAACGAAGAGACATCCCATGAAAGGATATAAGACGAAAAATAGCCGCTTTGGCTAATTCTGGCACATTTACAGCCATGCTTATTAATGTGCATTGCCCCTGTAAACAAATAAACTGAACTAAACAAAATCACTGGTGTGCCCTCGAGCAAGTCATTCAATTCTACTGTAGGGACAGTCGCTGTCGCCAATGTTTTGTAATTCACAGTGGATGAAACGTGACAACAAGTCAAGATTGCAGCTGTCCGTCCTTATACTGTCTGCCTGCCAGTGGTTCTTAAGCACCTTTGCATATCTGTGGAACGAGTCCTATCAGAAAATGCACAAACACCACAATAACAACATGCAATATGGCTAGCTTAAAGACAAATAACATGCTTTTATGTTTTTTGTGCTTTTTCTCTTGTCTGTGCCTCTGCAAGCAGAGAAGTAAATGGAGATAGGTTGAATGTCAGCTAGAAGCCAATAAATAACGGTTTTATTAGGCTGATAATGATCCCCAATGAATATTGGCAGCCGGACCATGATGACTTTGTAGCTGAATATCAGTAATTAAGTTTCAAAGAAGCAGGCAGCAGAGGTAAGGTCATATTGATCTGCCATGGTGCAACATGCCAGAGAACAGGACATCAATGAAGCCGCAGCGGCGCAGCATATATATGAATTCTTGCTGCGTGGCGTGCGAGTGGCAGTCGGTGTACCTGGGGCATTCAAGAATCTCAATATCACCGCGCGTCTCATAACGGTCAATCAACCGACTTGCAGGACACAGCATATTTGTGTTTGCGGCTGGGTTTTCAATGCTGATTTGAGGTCAGTTGTGATGTTTTAGATGTGTCTTCAAAGGCTGTTGATCTGCACTGATGACATACTTTGTGTGGGTGTTTCACACGTGAGGGTTTAGCTCGAGATTAATGTGTTGATGTAAATGAAGATGAATAATTACTGCCTGTAGTGCTACCAGACAGCACAAGGTATTCAGTTTTAGCGTGCAACCTTTACAGCACCATTTGTGATATGCACATGAATGCAATCTCAAATAATGGGCAATCTGAAAGAGGAAATTACATTTCAAAAACATAAACTCACAAATCTGACAGCTTAGAATTGTGATTTCCAACATTAGGGACAAACTCAAAAAGAGAAGGAATACTGGAAAACACTGAAGATTAGCCAAAAAGTCTGTCGATTGTGAGTTGTTTCCTCACAAAGCCAGTTCATTTAGAGTATTGAAGACTCTTCTTCATTGACATCCATTAAAAAGGCTTCTTGTCTAAGGTTTCTTGTCCATGTTTTGTCTGTCATTTTGGATCTGTTAGCCTCATTTATTGGACCAGTGTTATTTTATTATCATTGAGATACTATTATACTTGTTATTAATATTTAGAATTTGTTTTCATTTTCATCTTTATATTTCTTGTTTGCATTTTTGTTAAATTATTATTATTATTATTATTTCAGATAGTTGCTAAGGCAACATTTCTCTTTTTCATTTAGTTTAACTTGATTTATTAAAACTATTATTATTATTATTATTCTCATTATTAATAATAAAAATGATAATAAAAGACTTAAAAAAAAAAAAAGGTTTAAATTTTAGTTTTAGTTAACTATAATAACCCTGATTGAATATTTGGATTTTGACCATGGCATATTGTATAATACATAATAATTGTATAATAAACTTCAAGTTCACTGCCTTTGTTACAGTAGGTAACTAGACCTATGTCAGTAATGTATAATAAGCTGGTTCCCCATTATTATTAATTTATTATTTTAATTAGTGGTGCTTGTTAAGGCTAATTGTTTGTACTTCAAAACCCCTTAGCATTAAACTTTTGTGCACTTTTTACGGACCTGAATGATACCTTAAATCATGTTTTTTTTTTTTTTGAGGAGAGGTATGCTAGTGATCAGTGGTCATGCATATCATTTTCATGACCACTCTGGACTCTTGAATTCAGCCAGTAAGCCACAGAAAAACTCACCTTTACAGACATACATAGAGAAAGAAAGAAAGAAAGAAAGAAAGAAAGAAAGGTAAGAAAGAAGAATTAGTTCCACTCTTGGAAAAACCCACGCTAAAAGAATGAAAAAAAAAAAAAAAACCCTAAAAGGTATTTTTTTCATATAGCAGTCATAGCAGAATAAATCTAATGAATATGACAAGGTGAAAACGAGTCAGAGTTCATTCGACGGGGCTGCATTGGTTATTCATCAGTCTAATTTGCAGCGCTTGGATGACTGTGGACATAGAGACACCAAATCCAATAGGGCATCATAAAAGCCTCTTTCCACTTCAGTGTCTTACCGTGCTTTGGTCAGGGTCACTTATTTCAATGAAAACTCAATCTTCAACTGAATAGCACTGATTCTAACTCAAGGTAGTGTATGCACTTTTAATTTTAAAATTTTCTATCTAGGTTGTATTTATAAATACAGGAGGTAGTGTGCACTGCTTCATG